AATGCATTTCAGGTTTATTTATTATTTTTAAATGATAATGTGCTGTACATCCTGGCCTTTTTAATTGTTTCAATGTAAAGAACAAGCAACCTACAAGAAGCCCATTTCTAAATGCCCTGGATGAAATCCTGATCCCATTGAACTCAATGGCAGGAAATTGGAGCCACGATTTCACCCCACTCATCTTGAGGAAACAAGTACGTTGCAGTTTGCATGGGTTTCCAGACCACTACTTTCAAGTCACGATCCCAATTCTAGAAAGAATTACTAAAAGTGGACCCAGTTTGGCCATTGCCTTGGTATGCCACATTTGTTCTCCAAAACAAAGGAACTATCCTCTTCATATAATCCATTCAGACGAGCTAATTCATTGAAAAAAAGATCCTAAAAACCAGAAGATGTATTTTTACCTGTATATTTATCATATCATGTTATATATAAATATGTATTTATTTTTCTGGGGCTGAAAGGGTGAAGTAGTTTTCTTATTTTATGCCACAGAAAGTAAGGCTGGAAAAGACCTCCAAAGGTCATCTAGTCCAAGCCCTGCCTGAGGCAGGATCAGCCCTAGCCAAACCATCCTATACAAATCCACTGTCTAACCTCTTAATAAAACTAGTATCAACTCTGGCAATATGAGAGGCAACACCCTGACCTGCTACAGGTAAAGCAGGGGGACCACAGAAGCCCACATCCTGCTCATGTAAAAGGTTGTTAATATATACTCAAGAGATCCCAGGTAGAGGGCCATACTCCCTGCTACCGAGGAAGGCAAACACACCTACATTTCATACCAATCTGACCTAAAATTCCTTCCTGACCCCAAATATGGCATCAGTCGGATCCGCAACAGACCCTTTAGCCAGGAGCCTCTGGCTTTAACATCCAGAGCATTGGCACACCCCAGTCAAAGCCTCCAGCCAACACCCAACATCTCCAAGGAAGACTTTAAAAAGAGCAGCGGGGGCGGGAGGAGAAGAATTCCCTCCCAGCATAGCCCGGAAGCGTGGGAAATACCTATAGCAGAACATAGGCATAGCTACACCTAGATCATCCCTGACTTGTGGCTGTCAAACCTCTTCTTGAACACCTCCAGGGAAGTGTCCACAAAACTTCCCTAGGCATCTAATTCTATTATCTCACTGTTTTAACAGTAAAGAATTTTTTCCTGATATCCAATATAAACCCACTTTGCTGCAACTTCAACAGCAGCAGAAAAAATCCACTCTGCACTTTCAGTCCCACAAAAATAACTCTTTGGGCACCGATATTTTGTTTCTGCTTTTATTTCAGGGCTGGGTTTTGCTTGCTTGTATCAAACTGCCGCCGTCATGACTGCCAGATACTTTAAGAAGCGACTAGCTCTATCCGTTGCAATTGCTCGGTCAGGAATGGGATTGACATTTGTACTGGCACCTTTCACTCAACTTTTGATAGACATATATGGGTGGCAAGGTGAGTAGGGCTTAGCTTCTCCCAACACATTCATCTCACCACTATTTAATTAGCATTACATACCCTCCTCCCCCCCAAATAATCTTTAAGACAGAATTGCGCTTTTCTGCCTCTTCCTGGTTAGAGAGAAGCCAAGCTCCTCACCCCTTTTGATGACACAATCAGAAATGCCAACTGGTCCTCTCCTGGATTGTTACCTCTTTACCAAAAGATTTATTCACTACCCAAACTGTTAATCAATCATTAGAAGTTAAATTGGCATTTAAAACTAAGCACCCTAAATTCTTAAACAGCAACTAAAAAAATCTTCCTCTTCCACCTGTTAAACTTTCCGTTTCATGTGATAACATCATTTTACTTGCCAACAAAGCAAGTAAAGCAACAAAGTTGCCAGATGAGATAAGAACCACATTTCTATCAGAACAAGCAGGGGAAACTTTTACAAATATAGTATGCATTACAGGTAATATATAAGTTTATCTATATATGAGATACAGATGCATCTTCCCTTCCCATTCAGTGGGACAGTCTGAACAGCATTCTTTATTTATCGGTTTCCTACCTGAAATGTGCATCTATTTGAAATTAGAATATTCTGAATCAAAAAGAAAATCATTTCAGCTATGGAGGCAACAGAAGTAAAAGGACTCCTATAAAAGAAAGATCTTTCTCTGACCTGATCATTTAGTGTATTCAGCATGACAAACACCACCATCCACTTCTGAAAATGTTTCCTAATATTAATGATCATGGTACACATTTCAATGACAGTCATGAAACTTATCCTCCCCTTTCTCAGGTACATTACTGATATTTGGAGGCATCATGTTAAACCTTGTGCCTTCAAGTATGTTGCTTCGCCCTATTAACCTCAAATATTCCCAAGACTCTCCTTGTAAAAATAAAGGAAATGGATCACTAACACACGACAAACGTTCAGTGGCTGTCACTGACCACTGTGATGAAAATAGCAGCAAAGAAACGGAGTTGAAGGGCGGACTGGGGCAAGACTACATTGTTACAAGCAAGTGCCAGTCAACTGGAACTGCAGGATGTGTAGTTACAGTAAACTCCACTGGTTTGGAAGGGCCTGAGAAAGACCCCCCCATCAGCAACTCTTCAGATGCAGCCGAAAAGACTGAGAGCAGCTGTAATAACCTCCAGTGGGCAAAGGAAAAGCCTAAGTCCCAGTCTGCTCCTTCCAAGCAACTTCTCCTCCATCTCTCCCTGCTGAAAGATCCTTTCTTCTGCATTTTCACCTGGTCTTTTCTGTTCAGCCAGCTGGCCTACTTCATTCCCACCTTCCACCTAGCAGCAAGAGCCAGAACACTGGGCATAGACAACATGAGTGCCTCCTACCTCATTTCAGTGGCTGGTAAGCTACATTAAAAGAATGTCAAATGTCTATTACCTTCAAGAGACTTCCCCCCCCTGCTCCTACTATTTAGCCAAACCTTGATTATTTTTTTTTTTTTTTAAATCAAGTACCAAAGCTCCTTATTCAAGTCTCCTCAGCCCTTTAGGTGTATAAACCTTTAGGTTTGTACACTACAATAAGAATTCCCCTACTGTCTCCGCTAAGATTTCGGCTTTCTATTAAGGCAACTTTTATTAATATGCGATTAACAAATAAAAAACAAAAACCAAAATCAATCAATCAGTCAACCAAGCAACTGGTTAGCTTTGTGGAGACAAAGCATCTGTAACTTTTACTGCAGGCTAAGCACAGTACACTCTCCATCTCCATTTGAACTCACCTAGTCTGTTATGGCTTGGTAAAATTATAATGTTAAGAAGTTCTTGCTGTAATCACCGTGAAAACCTGATCTTTTTGGCAGTGAATACAATACTTCTAACGGGCAAGGATTCCACCCTGGAAAAACAGCCTGTATCTTAACTCCATCTCGTTATTAAATCAGTTTCTTTAAGGGGGAAAACAAAAAAGGCCTTACCATAGGGAGGAATTTCATGTATCATGGGACTTTTCTCCACTTGAGGAAAAAGTTCTGTTATTCTCTCTCACTACAATTTTAACTCGACTTACTTAAGCACACACTTTTTAAAGGCTTATGGCATTACCTTGTCACTACTAAGCCCTCACAGTCACTATTATTGGTCATTCAATTATTCTCACATGAGTTTCCACCATGAACTGCTTTATTTATATGGAACCATTTACTGTGAGGATTTCAGCAGTGATGTATATGTCACGAGGTTTATCACAGTTCAGTCTGCTTTTAAATATGGCTGTTTTGAACAATGCCTTCCACCTTACGAAAACCAAAACACACACCAAACTATGGCTGTGGGGTGTGTAAACACAATGTTTCAGATGGTACAAGTCGCATCACATTAAGAAATGGCTCATTCTTGCTCATTATAAAGGATTTTATTATACAAGGAAATTTTACCTGAAATGAAGTCAGCATCCTTGGACTGTTAGAGGATATTTGGGCTAGGTAGGCAATTACTCCTAAATAAAGAACACAGTAATTAATTTGCAAATGATATCTTGTATCAAGAATGTTGGTAGAAACACATGTAGTAAGTTGCTTGTGTTCATCCTGCATTTTCTAACCACTGGGATATAGGCAGTGGTCATTGGCATTTCTCTGGACTCCAGACTAGAATATAAAAAGTAACAGTTCAATAAAAGCAAGTTAGCTATCCTGGGTTTATGCCTTTTATTTGAATGCTTCTTCACGAAAGAAGAAACTAGGCAGGGGAGGGGGAAGAGGGGGAATAAAAAAAATGCCAAGTCTATACAGTATCCCCCACTTCGCTGGAACACAGAGTCTCATTCATTTATTGCGAGAGTCTCACCCCAAAGATGAATTTTGAACAGCTCATCTAATCCATTAGGAATTTTGGGTTACGTTTTCTTCTCAAGTTTTAGAACCATTTAAAACTATCTTTTCCCCATATCTGTTCAATCTGTGATTACACCCCTACTGCAGAATACAAAATCTGCTGCATTTCAGACAATCATCATGCATCATGGATGACAGATCTATTAATGGCTATTGAACAGAATGGTTAGACACGTTTCCTTCAGCATCTCTAAACCAATAGCAGTGGATATCAGGAAGGGTATTGAATAGGGGATAGGATCACTCTAGAAATATCTGATTCAATGCTCCATAGCATCCAACCCTGCTCCTGCCAAGAGACAGGATACTGGGCAAAATGAACTACTGGTCTGACCCAGGATAGCACTTATTTTTTATCATGAAGTAGCACCCCCCCAAGTTTATTTTAACAGTTTCTAAATGATTTAGCTATAGCTTTCAAGATTTTCTGTATTTCTCTAGGGATCACAGAGACAGTAAGCCAGCTGCTCTCAGGGTGGATTGCTGATCAGAACTGGACCAAGAAGTATCATTATCATATGACTTACCTCACCCTGTGTGGCATTACTAACCTGTTGTGCCCGCTGGCTACTTCTTTCCCATTACTTATGACCTATACAGTAGCTTTTTCCATTTTTGGCGGTGGATACCTGGGTCTGCTGCTCCCTGTGCTGGTGAGTAGAGAATCTCATTAAGATGATAAATATTTTGCACTTTCAAACAAAGATAGGCAAAGACTCTGAATCTTATGGCTACATTTTAAATGACCGACTTCTCTGAGATGTCCTGAGGACACAGCTATCTTAACATCAAGACATCTGGAGAACGTTAGCCTAAAACTATGCTTGAATGCTAAAGCAAATAAAGTCATTCACAGACCAGATATACTAAATTACTGGAACTCCCTTCACAACATAATGCCAGTCATCTAACATAACCAACTGCTTTCTGTCTTTCTAGATGTGATTATAGCTTATTTTCTATTGTACCCTCTCTAACAGAAACAAGGATGACTCCAGTAAATCCCATTCATTTATAATTACAGTGACCATACATCCCAGTTTGGCCAGGACAGTCCCAGATATTGTAGGCCGCCCCAGCTGGTTGGTAAATATGGAAACAGAAGTCCCAAACTGGCACCACTCCACCTGTACTGCCCAGCCCAGCTGTCCCTGAACACTGGCTGGAGGTGGAGTGGTGCCCAGCCCAGCCCAGCCAGCCCCACTTTTGCCTGGCGCAGGGTTAGGCTGGGGCAAGGTAGGGTCGGAGGAGAGTGCTGCTGTGAGCACAGGCTGCTCATGTGCGCACACGCGTGAATGCAGCTTCCTAGGTGAACTTGTATTTTGGCACCTTTTGGTGCCCTCCTGAGTAGCAGCTGGGGCAGGGATCTGCTAGGGTGATCTATATCATCACCCTATTTATAACCTAAGGCAACCCTGGCAAGTTTAAAGGCTGTGAATATGTAGTGCAGAATGCAGCATTATCACTTAATCAACTTCTATGCTAGTTAAGGCACGCTACAGTGTAACATTACACGGGCAAGATTTGCACCAGTATACATCTGCACTACAGTTCAGCAAGGAATGGATTCAGAGTTTAATACATCTTCAAGTCTTTGAAGAGGGTAAATTTAAAACATATGTACAGCCCATAACCAACATCCTAATGTTTTCAGTAGTCACCTTGCCAAATCAAATCTGAATCAAAAAAAATCAAAGCTGAATTTGAAACCAGCATAGCAAACATCTTTCAGACTCTTTTCTGAGAGTAAATAGTAGCCCCCCGCCCCAAACACTTGGCACTTGAACAATGAACATTATATAAATAATCATTCTGGTTCCATGAACAGGTGGATCTTGTAGGGGTCCCCAGACTCCACAGTTACTTAGGATTTGCCTCATTCTTTGCTGGGATAGCAGCCATCGCTGGACCTCCTATAGCAGGTAATACGTGAGGAATATTTTCTCTTCATCCTCTTGATAGATCATATTCTTAGTTCCTCTGGGTGCACCTCAGTGCTGGAGTGAAGTCTGAGATCTAAACTGAAAGGTTCTCTTAATGACAGCTTTTTTTTAATCTGAAAGAAAAAACTAATTCCTTACAAAAAGCTGTAGCAGTTTCACAAATGAATAGGAAATTAATTAATAAAACTCAAACCATAATTATGCCCTGCTCATAGCTTCAGCTTAGCCTTTGTTACAGTTGAGCTTAATGCAAAAAAGATTTGAAAAAAGGGAGTGCAGTGAGCCTAACACTAGGAAGAGCAGATGCTATATTCGCATTATTTTTCAAAGAGCAGAGACTCTGAAGTGAAAGAGGTAGTTTAAGTGGTTACCTCCTATCTTGAGCAGAGTTAGAATTCATACTGCTAAATAAAAGTAATCACTTAACTGATTTAGGCGCAAGCACAGAAATCAAAACTTGCTGTCCACTCCACCATCCCCACTTCCAAAAAACAGAGGTGTGGGCCTTACTTTAATGCATTTTGGTTGATGTACCAATTAATTCAAGCTCAAGTGGTTCTTTGTTCACACAGACTGAAAAATCTGCATTCTGCTTTGGTTGCTTCTACCCAGGACAAAGCCTGTCCTCTCACTGAAGCTTTAATCTTACCTTCATACCTAAAACATGATCAAACTCTTCTGCTATTCCCAAACTGCTGCAAAGTCGAACATCAGGGGATAAATGCCATCCTGTTACTGTATTAAGAATACAAGATAAAAAAGTGCCAACAGTTTTTTTTATGTGCTCCACTCCATTGATCAGCTCTTTCTTGCCTGGTTAAACACTTTGTTCTCAATCTGCCTTGTGTTTTACTAAGAGCACTACGCTATAATGTTTTACTAGCATACTAATGTATGCCACATTGGTTAGCACCGTGAAAGTCATGCCCCTAACAGGCATAGCTGTACCAACAAAACCCCCTACTACATGTAACTTATATCAGCAAGTTCACTAGTATTACAAAGTATACTGTTCAAAGAAATGACTTAGTTATACTGGCTAAAGAACTCCTTTTGCCAATATCAGCTGTATAAAAAAAGCTATATTGGTATAATTATTCTAAGGCTTTTTGTAAAATTAAGTGAACCCTTAGCAATTTATATGAATATTTCTGTATTTCCTCCTTTTTAATGTGCATCATACCTGACAATATTTACTGCACCTTTTAATTATTTGTAATCTCTCCCCTTTACAAGATTTTTTTTTTTTAATCCTGAAGCCTCTACTAGTCAACATATTCACTTTTTTGACTTTGTATCTATAATCAGGCTTTTGCTTAAAGCTGGGGTCCAACGTGCATCAAGTGTGCCACAGGCAGCATGTGCAGCCACTTCTTTTGGCACTGAGCAGATCCTACAGGGAGCAGGGAGAACAAAACAGGGAAAGGCTGGGAGAGCAGTGCAATGGATCAGTTAGGGGAAGGGGACTGGTGTAGAACTTGGGGAAAGAGCAGGGCTTACCTTGTGACATACCAGAAAGTTTAGCCCTCGGTGGCTTAAAGCATTAGATTTACAGACCTGGCAATCAAAGGTCATGGACAGCTGTTAGATTTGTAGCACTATAGAAGTGCCACACAACTATGAAGCACTAAAAAGTGTAGCGCAGTAGGCACAGATGTGCACAGCCCCCTGGCTGCAGCACTACAAAGTCACTGTGAAAGCAGTCAGAGGCATGTTCTCCAGCCAGGGAGTCATAGGGGGCTGCTGAGGCCTGTAGGTCTGCTCCCTCTCCACCACAGGGGAAGGACAGTCTGTCAGTGATAGGGGGCTGTGGCAAGCAGCGCTGCAGCCACCATTCCCAGCAGGACTGCAGCTCTGCTTGACGCAGGTGAGCCCAAGCCCAGTTTTGGTCCTGCACTTACTGACAACCTGGTCCCAAAAGGGAAGGGTCACAGGGCTACACACAGTAACTGTCAACCACACCCCTTCCTCCCTTACAAGGGAAGGAGTGGAGCATTGCAGGATGCTGGGGGACCAAAAATGTCCTACAGAGCTACCGTGCACTGTACAAATATTATGTGTAGCATTACAAGGGAGGTCCTGCTTCATCCAGGAATTTGTCATGCTTCCATGTTTGCTGTGCTTTAGGGTACATGAACACCTATTCCCTCCACTTCTGTAGTGCTACAAGAGCATACATAGCCTTACAAATGTAATGTCTGTCCTTGGCCAAACTTGTCAAAATAAGTGGGATGAGAGAACCAGAAATAGGAGACAATGAAACCAGCAAGACTACTGAAGCAGCCTCATTTTTCCAACCCCTTCCATTGTGCATGTCACTTTCTCCCAGATGGGAAAACAAGATGGGAAAGTCCATGCGATACCATTGTACCCTGGACACAAAATGCTCCAAAAGAAACTTTACAATATTCTCATTCAAATCCAGCTGCATAAGCATGAAACTTGCACATGCTGGAAGTTAATCAATAAGTCAATGTTTGCAGAAACATTTGCTCCTAGCAGAGCACTTTAAAAAGTTAACTAAAGAAAGAGTAAATTACTGCTACTATTAGAGGTAGCTCCTGAAGTTTGTCTTGACTGGATTAGCTGAACCACCCCTAACAAACTGAGTATTTCTAAACCTAAGGCAGACTTTAAATAAAAAGAAAAAAAAAAAATCTGCCAGCTCAAACTATTCTCTATGTTACATGGTTTGGAGATGTTAGGGTCCATATTCCATACATTAAAAACACAACAACAAAACACCCATTGAAAATATATAACCAGGAAAAAAAATGTTCCTTAATAAGTCTGGCTCCTCCATTATTGCTTTATGGTCAAGTCCTCTGTAACTGGCTAGACTCCCAGGGCTTCAAAGGTTTGAAGGCTCAGTGGCCAGTGGTGCCCACTTACCTGCTGATCCTGTAAAGACACAGCTGCTGGATGCTGCTTTGACTTTCTGGAAAAGAAAGACAAACATTTAAGACAAAAAGAAAAAGCTTCACAGAAGAACTACAAACTAGATAGCAGCATTTTTTTCCACATCAGTTAGAGCCAAAAGTAAGGAGACAGTTTGTAGAAAATGTTCTCTGAGCACTGTAACAGCATACAAGAAACCCTAGTTCCCTCAGTGGGGAAAAAGGAACTGAAAGACCAGTACTAACGCCTGTACTTTCAAATGCAGCATAGGCATGTCCTGAAAAAAAAACTTCAAAATGTTTCCTTGTAGACCAAGGATTTACTAACATTATTTACAGGGACCCTGCTTTTCAGAATTTTGCACTGAAAAAGAAAAAAAAATCCACCCTCCCTCCCCCCACAAATAAGAGAGCAGAGAGCCCATTAAGACATCCCGCCGATCCAAGTCTCTCAACAGTATGTGCTTAAGAAACCTGATGTGAAAGCTGGTACAGGAAGTAAGTGCTATCTACTGGTATACTCTGAACATAGATGAAGAGAAAGTCAGATTATCAAGTATCTTAAATAGTCATACCTGCTTGTCTATCCATAGCCCAAGCCATCTCAAGTTTTTTGGACTTGAGGCCTCTAAAAAACTTGCGTGAATTGAGCGGTGCCCAATTTCAAACACTAACTTGTATACTAGTGCTTGCTTCCGGGGGCGAGACTGTCCAGGCAGAAGCAAACCTGAACTTGCGCTTATCTTCTCACACCTCATGACAAAGCTCAATGACACCCTACGGTTCTGTAGCATCCTGGCTAAGAATCACTAAGCTAGACTCTCTCCATCATGTAGCTGACAGAAACAGGAGCAGTTACGACACCACTGCTGCATATTTCTTCCCAACCTACCTATGGGCAGAAAGGTATGAGAGGAGACTGGGATTAAATCTATGGTACAGTCACCTACTCTGGCTATCTTCAAAAAACGTCTGGATCCTCACCTTGCTGGGGTCAAATGACCCCAGCAATCTTTCCTGCCCAAGCGCAGGGGGGCTAGACCTGATGATCTCAAGAGGTCCCTTCCAGCCCCTAACATCTATGAATCCTGCAAGCACTTTTTGCATGCAAGCAGTCAGTTTGTTAACGAGACTATACACATGTGGTCGTATAGTCTACCTGTGGGTTATCTTCCCTCTATTTTAAATAGCAAAGATATAATCGAATGTCGCCTATGTGTCTAGTGGACACAATTATCTCTCTCCATTTTCTGGCCAAAGGAAGCCTACAAAACTCATAAGTACTTAAGGGTCTGTTGTAAACATTCTGTAGTAAAAAGGTTTGTGGAAGAGAGGAGGAAAACTAAAGAGAATTTATGAAGGATTCCTTGGTACGGTCCCATCTTTTCTTTTCCGTGTACGTTCCAAAATGAGGTCCTGGAAGGCTTTTCCTGGGTGAGAAGTCCAGCAGCTTTAATAACTGAATTGTTATATCTTCTCCAGGTTGGCTGTACGATTACACGCAGACATATGCCTGCTCCTTCCTCTTTGCTGGAACCTGTGCGCTCATTTCACCCATTTCCTTCTTCTTTGTGCCTCTGGCCCAGAAATGGAAGCTAAAAAAAGAAGATGGTTTGAGCATAATTACAGCTTAGCTGAAGAAGTTTTGCTGCAGTTGGGACGGGACAGTTTGGCTTGTGTACAATAAGAAAGTGAACATTAGGAGGCGTTCTTCACCAAGTAATAAAAAGACACCAAGATTAAAGAGAAGTGTCATGTTTGAAGACAGAGACTCAATTTAACTTACTCTGCTTAAATGTTATTGCTTCATGCGACTGAAGTGGACTGAATTAGTTTTAAGTTTTACTCAAAACATCCAGGTGAAGATGCATTTCAGTCACTTTTTGGCTCCTAAAATATCCTGTTTGGTAGGAAGCCTAGTTGTCTTTTATCAACTTTACTGCTTCCGTTTTTTGCAAAGATGTAATACATTTAAACATCATTAGTCAGAGCCTTAGTTTTAGAAAAATCATTTCCATTTCTTCAGCTCACATAACCAGTGATTTTAGCCTAAACAGTAAAAAACAGACTCACTTTCAGGATAAAGAACTGTGATCTTCAGAGGAGCTGTAACAGAACTTCTTGCTTATGAGGTATATGCATCTGGAACAATGATCAAGAAAAAGCAGAGGAAGTACTAAAAAAAAAATAAATAAAAAAAAGATGAAGCAATTTCAAAGAAACTGAAACAAAATAACTGTTTTCAACAACAAAGGAACACTACCATGGCTGCTAAAATACAACCTACTAATAGCTCCCAACTACAGGTCATGTTGCATCTATCATTGCATATAGAATTGTGTAACCAAAAGCACTGCTAATTAAAAAAATACTAAGATAAAGTAAGCTGGTGTTTAGTCTTCCATTCATTCAGTGAGCTACAATTATATGATGTATTTTTTCATTAAGGAAGTCACGCAGCTCAAGTGTGCGTTTGAAAAAAATTGGGAAAAGAAATAAAACTGTAAAAGAGATCACCCCTTCAAGTAAAGAGAACAAGGAAACCAAAACCAACTCTTTTTTTCTAGTTCAGTAAGTCGGCGCTACCATATAAGTCAGAAAAGTGCAAGTACGCCAGGCAAGATGGTTTTTTGTTTTTAGACGTATTATATTAGGGCTTTAAAAGCAAAGACTGAGGCCTCGATGTGCCACGCACTCTGAATACAAGAAAACCCTGCTCCAAAGTTTTTGCTGTCTGCCTAGAACAATGAGCAGGCAAACAAAGGTACAAGACGGGTACACCAGGCAAGCTAACTCCTGTTCCAAGCATGTCACATGATAGCAGACTTAACAGCTCTCGAGACATGCATCAATGCTCTTCTTCATCATACTCACTCCTCCACAACCCCCGTTCAAGTGACTGGGTCATGCATTACATATTGGAATACTAACAAGAGATTTGACATGTCTGTAAATGCAGTTTCAAAGACAAGGCCAAAAAAATTCACGTCACCTCATTTACTTGGACCTACATATTAAGTGGGTCTACTGAGGTAGCATAATTTTTTACTTGTTCTAGACAGTGTGCTCAGTATGTGGGAAATAGGATTTTTCTTCCTACTTTTTAGTTATCAGTTTGCAACCCTTTTCCATATTTGTGAGAGTTAACATTTGAGCCAATTTATGCCCAAAATATTTCCTGTATTTAAAGTCAAATGCTTGGCCATAACATTAACAGTTTCATTCAGCATCCATTCTTTACATTTAGCTGGACACATCTGACACCATAAGAAAGCAGAAGCATGAAAATGTTTAAAGTCACCTCTGAAGGGAAAAATCCTCTTACAGATGCTTTGGTTTTCCTCACACTACACTGGTTTCATACCTTATCACCAACTATTTGAAACCTATTAAATGGATGTAGAATATACAGCAATTTTAAGCTGCAACCATTTCAGTGAGTAGCACCAAGCATTTTCTAAAATGACAAAAAATTATTTCCATTACAAAAATGTTCTTTTAAAAAGGTAAGTGGTTATTTCAAGCATGAAAGCAAGAGTGAGTGAGTGAGTGTTTACATTACATACTTTTCTGTATCTTCCTCCCAAGGTAAACACACAATCAAATCATATAATATTTATATTTAGATATAAATATAGCTTTATTAAAGAACCCAAGGCAGTGTTGTAGGTAACAAATGAACTAAAAGGCAATCAGCCAAGTTCTGCAGTCGTGTAACAAAATAATTTCAAAACAGCTGTGCCTGCTCATACCAGGAGAGAATTTAGGCCTTAAATCTGCAGCATTTGGGAAATGTGCAATTTTTCCAAGGTCTATTCTAAGCACTCACAGCTTCAATGATGAGATCTACAGGCAATGAGCATTTCCAGAAGTCAGTCCATTCAATTTCCAGATGTAGCATCAAATGTTGCACTCTGATTTGATGAGGTCAAGTCAGTCTTAAACCCATGACACAGGAACAAATAACTAAGCTTCTAGCACAGGGGTCCGCACCCTATGGACTAGATCTGGCCTGCAAAGAGGTCCAATCCAGCACAGGGAACTAGTGGCGCAGAACTGCGTTATGCCATGCACCCTTCTGTTCTTCCAGTATATCTGTGCTACCCTTGCTGCAGAGATCAGATATGTGCAGCAAGGTGAATGCAGCCAGCCAACTGCTCTGGGGGTGCGAAGGCAGCCAAGTCAGAAGCTCTGGCCTAAGCCAAAGAAAGGCTGCTGGCCACTGATCTAGCAGGTCATCTTTCAACTGAAAGTGGCTCTTATAAATAACATGCTTCTAAAAAATGAGACCCCTCAAGATCTCAAACATGATAGCATAACTCTTTTAAAAAAAGAAAAGAATAGGTACTTTTGTCTTAGGCAACTTGTTCATTCTGAACACTTTGTCAAGCTGCTAAAAAAAAAAGGAGTATGGCCTCCTGTTATCCAAAGCATTTGTCTTTTCAAAGCCCCTGGACTTCTGTAGATCTAAAAATGACATATTAGGACATTTTAAAGTGCCCTTACAGTACAGCTACCCATCTTGGTCCAGGCTTGGACCCAAGGACCAGTTTGGGTGGAAAGCACCTAAACTATGTCCCTGCATTAGCAGTTCAGTGCCACAGACCCAAAGCTACACCTATGCAATTTAAATGGTCACATTGTCATTTTCCAGCCAACTTGACCTACCCCAAAATGATCAACTGTAATTCCATCCAGGAAGAGCACACACCAACTGCTGAAACTTCCTTAGCCTGACGAAGGGTTTTTGAACTCAAAAGCTTGTTTAATAACTATTCTCCAACTATTTGGGTTGGTCTAATAAAAGATATCAAATTCACCCAAGGAACCTTGTCTGCCAACTGTAATACATGCATTCCTAAATCTAATAACCATGTCACAAATTTTAGGGTCACCTAGGCAAACAACTGAATTCTGATTTCTGCTGCTCTACCTCCTCACATCTAAATAAAATCCACTCCAATTAATGATCGCGGGGTTCCCCTAACACAGTGGTTCTCAACTGGGGTGTTGCGAGACTTTCTTAGGAGTGCCACAGCACAGGTGCTGTCACCAGGTAAAGCTGCTCCCTGTGCCTTGCATGCAGCAAGACCATGAAGGGCCAAATCAAGGGTTGGCACTCCTGCCTGCATTAGAGTTACGTGATAAACGCTTGTCCAGGAAACACAGGCACACAGGGCAGTTTTACCAGGTGGCAGCTGTTTCTCCAGGCTGTTGCACAGCTGCTGCAAGGCAGTCTGCAGGGAGCCAATCCCAGCAACAGCAGCTACTGCCACCACTGTTAGGTAAGGCCATCCTATGCTTGCCCTCACTACCTCCTCTCTTCCCCTCCCTCCCACCCCAACAGCTCTCAGGTGCTTGGCACAACACCCCCATTCCCATCATCCCCCCAACCATCTTCCAATACCCTTTTCCAATCTGGCTCTATACACAGGGCAACTTCACCCGGCTGTGACAACGGGAGCACCCTGGCTGAGCACCACTGAAGTAAGCCGAAGAAGTATAACAGTGGTGCTCACCTAGAGGGCTGCCAAATTCTGAAGTTATGGAGAGGTGCCCTGAATCTAAAAAGGTTGAGAACTTCTGATGTAACCCAGTAAAACTTGCCGTCACTTGAGCCACTGTTTCTTACTCCTTTCCTTTGAGAGAAACAGCAGAGAGTCCATTTTCTCTCATCTTTCCTAGTCTCTACTGGTATCTATGCCACTATTTCCTTCCTGCTGTTTTCCTTTTCTACAAAAGAACTTGATAGTTTTCTGGGGGAGTCCGATAACAAAATGATAAGTGGCTCAGAGGCTTTTCTATTTTCTGTGGCTCTCTCCCAAGGTAAACACCACTGACTCTTACTCTAGCTCTTGTCCAAATAGAAGTTTTGCCCACATTAAGGAGGTTTTCCAGGCCCAAACCAGACAAAAATATTCCATCATATACCCAGTAACCGCCAGCATTATTTTTAAAAAATCCCTTAAGGCAGTGGTTTTTTTATAAAATGAACCTTCTCCCCAGCTGCAGTGTACAAACCCATGTTTAACAGGCCTAATATTTGAGAAGATCCTTAAAACTATTTTTAGGTGATGGGGAAGGACATTTAGTAAAATTCAGACTCCCATTAAGTTTAGCTTTGCACTCATATCCCAACAAGGTTAAGTATAGTCTGTTCTCCCCCTGTTTTTGGTTGATAACAAATATAATGCTGTTAAAAATACAACACTAAGAGTCCTAGAAACAAAAGTTGGCTATTAATTTGTAAATAAATCATAAAGATGGTATCAAGAATGCAAGCCTCCCAATAGGCACTCAGCACCCCTGGCCTCAAAGCACCACCTCACAAACGGGTGAAGACTTAACTTTCCTAACTTTAACAAAAGCCAGTGAACACCTTTGATGCGAGCTCCTCTCCCACTAGTGGCTGGGCTGAGACCTTCCATCTCAATGTTAGAAAAAACCTAATGTCAATCCTTGCATCCCAGAAAAAATGTTAATGGTATTTATGCAGGTGTGCAAATGAATTTAAAGACTTGGTGCAATACTTTTGGCTGAGTTTCAATCCAAAACTCTAGGAGCCTGCAGCTACACAAAGCATTTATGATGAAGATCAAGCCTAAGCCAAAGTAGGTTCCCTGCATACAGATACCACTCTCTTGAGTAAAGAAGCAAGTCTCAAGGGAACAGTACCTACATCTTCAGATTAAGTCCTTTGTTTAGCTGCAGCATCCCCCCGTGGACCTCCCTCTACTAAACAAGATGGATGTAGCAGCTGTACAGAAGTACCCACAGGATTGGGTTGGTGCTCTGTCTTTTACAATTCACCTGGTATTTGCAGAGTAGCTATGGGTCAACAGTGAAACAAGACACTGAAAGGTAAATACCACACCAAAAGGCAGTCAGACTCAGGATGGCAAAACTCATTGGGCACAGCTACACAAGATGCTTTACTGTGCAGCAGAATAATTTGATGCACAATAAAGCGTCACCATCTACACATCTGCAGCAATTAGGGCGCAGTAGACTAATTTTCTGCACTGCCAGATGGATAGCACTTGTATCTGATGGGACTAGCAGCACGGTAAATTACCGCGC